GATTTGCATTTCCTTATGGCCAGGATGGTGAGTATTTTTTCATGTGTTTTTTGGCCATTTGAATTTCTTCTTTTAATTTCTTCTGTTTAGTTCAGTTGCCCATTTCTTTATTGGTTCATTGATTTTGCGGGAGTTTAGTTTTTTGAACTCCCTGTATATTCTGGTTATCAGTCCTTTGATGTATAGCTAGCAAATATTTTCTCCCACTGTCTGGGTGATCTTTTCAATTTAGAGACCATTTCTTTTGTTGCGCAGAAGCTTTTTAATTTCATGTAGTCCTATTTGTCCATCTTTTCTCTTAGTTGCTGAGCTGCTGGGGTTCTATTGAGGAAGTCCTTGCCTATACCTATTGCTTCCAGAGTATTCCCTGCTCTTTTCTTTACTAGCTTCAAAGAGTTTTGGGTCTGATGTTAAGGTCCTTGATCCATGTTGAGTTGATACTAGTACAGGGTGATAAACATGGATCTTGTTTCAGTTTTCTGCAGGCAGATAACCACTTTTCCCAGCAACATTTGTGGAAGAGGCTGTCTTTTCTCCATCGTATGTCTTTGGCGCCTTTTTCAAAAATAAGGTGGGCATAGCTGTGTAGATTCATATCCAGGTCCCCTGTACTGTTCCACTGGTCTTCATATCTGTTTTTGTGCCAGTACCATGCCGTTTTTATTGCTATTGATTTGTAATATAGTTTGAAGTCAGGAATTGTGATATCTCCAGCATTGTTCTTTTTGCTGAGTATCGCCTTGGCTATTCGTGGTCTCTTGTGTTTCCAAATGAACTTTAGGGTAGATTTTTTTCAATCTCCGTGATGAATGTCATTGGGATTTTGTTGGGAATTGTGTTGAACATGTAGATTGCTTTTAGTAGTATATCCATATTTACTATGTTTATTCTACCAATCCATGAGCACAGAAGATCGTTCCACTTTCTGTAGTCTTCCTCAATCTCTTCCAGAAGTTTGTAGTTCTCCTTGTAGAGGTCATTCACATCCTTTGTTAAGTATACTCCTAGGTATTTGACTTTTTTTTGAGGCTATTGTAAATGAAATTATTTTCATATATTATTTCTCAATTTGTTCATTGTTGGTGTATAGAAAAGCTAATGATTTTTGTAAGTTGATTTTGTATCCTGCCACACTGCTGAAGCTGTTTATGGTGTCTAGGAGTTTTTGGGTAGAGTTTTTTGGGTCTTTGAGGTATAGGATCATGTCATCTGCAAGTAGAGATATTTTGACAGTTTCTTTACCTATTTGTATTCCTTTTATTCCTTCTTCTTGCCTAATTGCTCTGGCTAGGAATTCCAGTACTATGTTAAATAGGAGTGGAGAGAGTGGGCACCCTTGTCTCACCATGTGGTCTTGGGCAAATCACTTCTCATCTTTGGCCATTGAGTCTCTGTCTATATATTGAGGGAGTCACTTCTTATATTTTCTTCTAGTTCATACATTTAGGTTTTATAACTCTGATAGTGTCCTCTTTTTTTTTTTGAGATAGGGTGTTAGCCTAGGCTGGCCTCAAACTCAGGGTCTTCCTGCCTAAGTCTCCCGAGTATTGGGATTTACAACTGTGCACCACCAAACCTGGTTCTGTTTATTTTTGGTGGTGGGGGGGTGAATTGGGGTTTGAACTCAGTTCTTCACACTTGCAAAGCAGGTGCTCTACCATTTGAGCCATACCTCCAGTCCATTTTGCTCTGGTTATTTTAGAGATGGGGATCTCTGGAACTAATTGCCTGGGCTGGTCTCAAACCTCGATCTACCTGAACTCAACCTCCCAAATACTTAGGATTACAAGGGTGAGCCACTGTGCCCTGCTTTGTTTATTTTCTTAATGAATCAACCAATGATTTAAATTTTGATGCTGCATTTTTCTTGTATGGTTTGTGTTTTTTTGTATACTTGTTAAAAAATCTTTGCCAGTTCTAAAACTGGCAAGAATGTTCTACAGTTTCTTCTAGCTTTTGTGTTTTGGGTCTCCTGTTTAAGTGTATAATCCATCGGCAATTTTTGTGTATGACATGAGGTATCACCCAAATAATTTTTGAGAGCAGCCAGGTCTTACTCCTTTAGGTATATCCCTCTCTCTCACCACTCTCATCTTCCCTTATTTGCACAGCAGGGGCATCTTTCGAACTGTTTCCCAGAGTAGTGCCCAGTGAAAATGCTGACAGGACAGTTTTCTTCCCTAGTAATTTCTTCATTAGTTTGAATTGCGGAGTTAAATCAAGTTGCTGCCAAGCATGGTGGTACGTGTCTGTAATCCCAGCACTCAGGAAGTTGAGACAGGAGGATCACCAGTTCAAGGCCAACCTGGCTGCATTTTAAGACCCTGTCTCATAAAACACAAACACTTAACCCCACCCCCCCAAAAAAAGAAACCAAAATAAAGCAACCAAGAGACCAAGTCTCTAAAGGGAAATAGTATACTTGGTCCAGTTCAGGTTTACCCTGATTTTTGTCTTTAAGAGTGATACATTTATGCGGGGGGGGGGGGGGATGAAATGACCCAAACATTGTATATGAAAAAAAGAAAAAAAAAAGTGATACATTTATGTATTTATTATTACTATTTTTTCCTGTACTGGAGTTTGAACTTAGGGCCTTGCACCTGCTAGGCTGGCACTCTGCTACTTGAGCCATGCCTCTAAGCCATATTTATGAATTAAAAAAAAAAGTGACTTTCATGAATTGGTTAGAGAGAATGATGAAGAAGTTAATTCATTACTGAGTCACCTTCTACACAGGAAATTGCTGCTTCTCAGCTTGTGTTCCTGCTCTCAAATGAGTATCGTTCTCAACTGAGTTTTTTCTCAAATGAGTATCATTCTCAGCGGTGCTGTTTGGTAACTTGGGAAGGACAGACTCTTGGAGAAGCTCAGTGTAAGTAGTGAAGGAGCAGCAGCAGCAGCAACTGTGTGCTTTCCACAGTGCTCTGTCTTGCCATGGCACTAGGAACTGACCAGGTCATGGATTCAGTTCTGCCTCCTCTGCCTGGCCCCAGCCTGGGCCTCCATGTACTCTGAGTACTAGGTCTAAGCCAGCCCAAACACACGAAGGGCAGGGGCTGGCCTAGGTGCCGAGAAGTGGGACATCCCTTCTTGACTCACACTGAGTAGTAGTTGGTGTTGACATCACAGCTTAGAGTTCCCCTAAAATTGTAGACACAATGAGATGTAGACCCGCCCCCATACTATGCCCCAAAACAAGGAGTAACATTTCAACCAGCCTTTCAACTAAGAACTCATTTTCCCATAGAGACAGTGTTTACTTATTTTTCCACATTTTATTAGCAAATATTAATTGTATGTAGGGGGTTTCATTTTGATATTTCCATATATGCTTATAATATACTTTGGTTGTATTCACCTCCTAGAGACAGTATGTACAAAAGCTTGTTAGGCTGGGTGTTATGAGACACACCTGTAATCTCAGTACATGATGGCTGAGGCAGGAGAATTAAAAGTTCAGGGCCTGGGTTACAGCAGCAAAACCCTGTCTCAAAAAATAAATAAGCTCACAGTAGAGTAGCCAAGCTAATACAGCTCCTTTTATTCTTGGTAACCTCATCAAGCAAACAAATGGAAAGATGAAATGCATGTACCATTAAGTTACTGACACTTCTCATAAGCTACACCTATCATTACCCCCTTTATAGTATACTTTCGTTTTGGTTTGTGCTAGGGATCGAACCTATATGACAATTTTCATATTGACACTGAGGGTTGAACTGAGGGCCACTTGAGCCATACCCCTATGTTTTTTGTATTTAACTTGTTTTTCAGATGGGGCTCCTGCTGGCTTAGACTGGTCTGACTTTGAAACTCCATCCTCCTGCCTCTGCCTTTGCAGTAGCTGGGATTACAGGCACGAACCACCACACCTAGCTAGTACTGACATCTAAATATATTTTTTCATTATATGAATAATACATGTTCATTATAGATAAGTTATGAATGTTTTACAAATTAAATGTCATACCTATACTATATAATGTGTTTATAAATTATGTAGTAAAATTTGTTATGATTAATGTACTTTTTCTACCTTTATATATAAATTTTTTCATAAATGTGGGATTATGAGTGCCCAGTGTTTGCCACTCATAGCATGGCTCTCTAGGTCTATGAATTGACATTGTGGTGGATTATATTTTTTCATGACTGAGTGAAGACAGTGATGAAGTGCTAGTTTATTTAACTACTCTTCTTTCTTGGACATTGAGAGTATTTTAGGTTTGTACTGTGGTCATCTTTGCTTAATTCTTTCTTTCTTTGGATGAATTTCTACAAGTGAAATTTTTGGACTAAAGCGTTCACTTTTTACTTTACATGGGGAAAGGAAAGGGTGGGAGGTAGAAGAGGAGAGAGCCTGAGCAAGAATTCACATCTTTGAGGCTTTAAATCTAAATTGCCAAATTGATCCAGACAAGTTGTAGCAATTTGCATTCCTTCAGGGTTAGGCAAGTGTACTTGTTGCTGACCTTCATGGATAGTAGGTGTTTCCCTACCTTGTAGTCAAACTCGTCCTTTGTTTTCTTTTCTTTTCCTTAAGAGTAATGGCGTTGGGCCAGACACCTGTGGCTCACACCTGTAATCCTAGCTACTCAGAAGGATCATGGTTTGAAACGAGCTGCGGCAAATAGTTTGCAAGACCCCATTTCCAAAATAACCAGAGCAAACTAGACTGGAGGTGTGGTTCAAGCAGTAGAGCACCTGCTTTGTAAGTGTGAAACCCTGAGTTCAAACCCCAGGCCCACCACAAAAAGGAAAAAAAAAAAAAAATGTTTTGCTCTGTTGCCTAAACGCCAGGGCCATGTGATCCTCCTGCCTCAGCCTTCATGTGGCTGCTGTGACTACTCGTTGTTTTAATTGGCTTTAATTATTCGTGAAGCCTACCATTTTCATGTTTTCTGGCCATAGTGTGGACCCACAAACAGACTGAAGTTGCAGTCACTGTCCTCGTCACACATCAGTCTTCTCAGCAGGTTTTTTTGTTTTTCTTCCAGGAGCGACTGAAGCTGGTGACTGTTTTGGGTGCTGGCCTTCTCTGTGGAACTGCACTGGCGGTCATCGTACCTGAAGGAGTACATGCACTTTATGAGGATATTCTGGAGGGTGAGAAAGAGAAGGGCCTTATTTGAGATATGTTATTGACTCAGATGACTGGCAGGAGAAGGAAACTTAGCCATATTTTTGCTGAACACAGTTCAGGCTTACCTTAGACTTCTACCCTGAGAAAAGAGTTTTCGTTTGTTTATTTTTAAGACAAGGTCTCACCATGCAGCTGAAGCTGGCCTCACACTTACTATGTAGTACAAGCTGGTCTCGAACTCTTTATTTTCATGACTCTGCCTCCTGAGTGCTGGAATTACAGGCATGCACCACCACACCCAGCCAGAAGAGATTTTAAAGAGCTATCTTTTGATATCTTTGACATTGAACACATCCTTCACAGTTTATGAATGGAGTCCTCAATTCATGGATACTACACTCTTTGAATAATGAATAATGAATAAATTCTAGGCTTTTTAAGTATGTCAGGCTTATTTTTGTTTTGTTTTTTGAGACAAGGTCTCACTATGTAGCCCAGGCCGGCCTCATATTTACAGTCCTCCTGCCTCAGCCTCATGCATGCTGAAAGTACAGGTGTATACCACTATGCCTGGCACTTTTTTTTTTTTTGAAACAGGGTCTTGATAAGTAGCCCAGGTGTCCTCAAACTATTGATACTGCTTTTTAAATTTCCACTCAAACCACTCCTCCCAAATTCCACATGACAGTGGTTGTATTTTAGTGTTCTTTAATATATATGTATATTTATACTTTGGGTGATTTGAATAGTCATAGAGTCACTATGAACACTTACGGACAGCTTTCTGTATGTTTATCTTGCATAAATGCAGATTTCTAGGTCATATGGTAAGTATGTTTTAACTTCATAAGAAATATACAAACTCAAAAAAAAGAAAAGAAATACACAAACTCTTTTCCAAAGTGGCTGTACCAGTTTTCATTTCCATCAGTAGTGTGTAATGTGTTCTTCCCTTCCTTGCCGACAGTGTTGCCTGCTTTGTTCTAGATTTTCACTTTAGGATTAATTGCATTTCCCTTATGATCCATGATGTTGAGCGTCGTTTCATGTCCATAATTGCCATCGTTGTACCTCTTTTGGTGATACCAAAGAAAATCTTTTGTCTGTGTTTAAAAATCAAGTGTTCTTATTACTGAGTCAATTTGTTTGTTTTGGGGGTTTTGGCAACACTGGGGTTTGAATTCAGGGCCTCACCCGTACTAGGCATGTGCTGTTATCATTTGAGCCACTCTGCCAGCCCTGTTGCTGAGTTCTGATTTAACAGGAGGCTTCACAGTTGTAGGCTTCACATCTGTTTTTGCACTGATTGTGGCGTGGTTTGGAATGCAGTGTAGGGCTCCCTCTGTTGGCCGTGGTGGGCGTTGTGTAGCTCAATGCCATTTGTGGAGCATTGTCTCTGTTGAATTGTCTACACCTTTGTCAAAAGTCAGTTGATCACGTTCATGTTGATCTGTTCTGGATTCTCTGTTCTGTTCCACAGGTCTGTATGTCCAGCCTTTGCCAATACTACATTATCTTGATGACTATGGCTCCAATTAGAGCACATTTTAAAATCAGGTAGTGAGTTCTTCTAACCTTGTTCTTATTTTTCAAATTTGTTTTGGCTTCCCATAAAATCTTTTGCCATTCCATAAAAACTTAGAGTCAGCTTATTACTATCTTAAAAAAAAAAATCAACAAAAAAAACCCCCAAAAGTTACGCTGGGATTCTTTTTTGCTTTATTTTTTAGAAACAGTGTCTCACTATTAGTCTACACTTGTTTTGAACTCAAGATCCTGCTGCCTCAGCCTCCTAAGTGCTGGGATTACAGGCATGAATCACTATACCTAGCTCATGCTGGGATTCTTATTGAGACATAGTTGAATCTTACTAATTTCGGAGAGAATCAACATCTTAAAAATACCAGTTCTTCTAGTCCCTGAGCACAAGCTATTTCTCCATTTATTTAGGTCTTCTTCCATTTCTTTCATTAGTTTTACAGTTTTTAGCACTCAAATCTGCATATACGTTATTAGATTTATACCTAAATATTTCACACATGTTGAAGTTTTAAATGGCACTTTAAATTTTTTCAATTTTTAGTGTATAGAAAATAATTAATTTATTGAAGTTTTTTTTGTAGACTCCTTGGAATTTTTCTCACAAATGAGCACATATCTACGAATTGAAATGGCTTAAAGATTCCTTTAAATCTGCCCTTTCTCCCTTTCCTTAATGCACTCAGTGAACCACCCAGATTGAGGCTGATAAGAAATGAAAGCAGACGTTCTCATTCAGTCTTTCATCATTAAGCATGATGGGGGGGGGGGGTTGATTTTTTTTTTTTTTATCTGATTCCCTTTTTCAGATTAAGGAAGTTCCATTCTAATTCCTATTGTGCTGAGAGTGTTGATCTTGAATGGATATTAAATTTCATCAGGTGCTTGTTTCAGTCTGTTAACATGGTGAATTACAGCGATTGATTTTCACATTAAACTAGACATGGGTAGACCCCTCCCCTTAGTTGGTATATAGTCTCCTTGTACATATGACTGGACCCAGTCGGCTAGTGTCTGTGCATGGAATGTTGGTCTGTAGTTTTTCCAACAGTATCTTTGCATGGTTTTGTTATCAGGGTAATTCTGGCCTCTTCAGTAGAGGTAGAAAGTGCTCCCTGCTCGCCTGTGTTCTGGAGAGATTTGCAGAACTGTAGTATTTTTTCCTTTAGTATTTGATAAAAAGTACCATGAATGGATTTACCATCTGGGCTGGGAGTATTTAACTATAAATTCAATTTGCTTATTAGACACAGAACTGTTTGTTACCTGTTTCTTCCTGAATGTTTTGGAAGTTTACATCTTTCAAATGATTTATTTATTTATTTTATCCAGGTTAAAGAATTTATGGCATGAAGTTGTTCATAGTATTTCTTTAATGTCATTCATTCATTCATTTATTTTTATGATTACTAGGGATCAAATCCTGGTCCTTCCACTTGCTGTGAGAATACTCCTTACTTAATGTCCTTTTAATTGTAATGAGGTCTTCTCTTTCATTCCTGATTTTAATAATTTGACTTCTCTCTTTAATTTTAATTTTTTCCTAGAACCATGTTATCTGTTATCTTTGGGATGGGCTCATTGTCCTTTCCTTTGTTAATTGGTCAGTTTTCCCTGTTTCTTGTGTGTCCTGTAATTTTGGATTGTGCCCTGCTCATTTTGAACGTGATAGTTGGAAACGTTTGAATTTCCTAGAGAATGTTTGTTTAGTTTGAGCAGGCCACTACCCTGTTTAGATTCACACTGCACATTCTGTCTTGCGTTTTTTGGGAGATGGTTCCAGTACCAGTTCCATCTTCAAAGACTTTGCAATGCCACTTTGGGTGTATGATGCATATACGGGAATGAGGCTGGGACTTGTGCCATTATGCACAGGGTTAGAGGAGCCCTCAGCTCTTTTCTTCCCAATAGTCCTTTCACTCTCTGACTCCCAGGCCCTTTTCCTGGTCCTCTGGCCAGAAAGAAGGGGGTGTGTGTGTGTATTAGATATAGGTACGTATATCTATCTGTAGATATATGGCATATATATATATATATACATATATATATGTATATGCTAATGCTTGGATCTGGATTTGGATTTTTGCTGCCCTTACTCTTGCCAATGTTTACTTTTTGTAGTATTCATTAGGTTGTGTTTTGTTACTGTAATCAGTGGCCTGCACCAGGTGGCTCTGCCATTCTTTTTTTTTAGTCTTTTCTGGTGCTGGGGATTGAAACCAGGACCTCCCACATGCTAGGCCAGTGCTCTCCTTTTGAGCTACATCACAGCCCTCTGTCATTCTTTTTTTCTTTTTAAAGTAAAATATTAATACACCAGTGAACTTTAGCCAACTTTTTGCTGTACTTCAAAGGAGTTTGTTTGCCTGTGGTTTCTTTCTTCTGTGGACTATGTAATTATGATAATTAACATATTTTTTCAGAGCTCAGTAAACCATGTTAACTAAACATTCTGAGCCTTTAATGATCATTATTAAATACTAATTAGTGTAAAAAGGAACCTTTCCCATACTCTTCTATCGTTATAGCTCTAAAATCACTGGAATTAGATGATTATCAGTTTTCATGTGAGAAAACTTTCTATGGAAAGAGACTTTAAGAACCTCAGGTTTATTGAGCATTGCAGTACTTTACTGTGGAATTTTTTTTTTTGTGGTGGGACTGAGGTTTGATCTCAGGGCTTCACACTTACAAAGCAGGCGCTTTACCACTTCAGCCACACCTCCAGTCCATTTTGCTCTGCTTATTTTGGAGATTGGGGGGTGGTCTTAGGAACTATTTGGCTGGTCTGGCCTCAGATCACAATCCTCACCTAGGATAACAGGCCTAAGCCACTGGTGCCTGGCTATAGAATTAAAAAAAAAAAAATGGAGATACTTGGATTTGAACTCAGAGCTTTGTGCTTGCTCTGCCACTTGAGCCACACCTGTAGCCCCCATGGAATTAAAATTTCAAACCATCATAATTATTTGGATTGAGGAGGGGCAGCACTGATATTTGAACTTAGAGCCTCACTCTGGCTAGGCAGATGCTCTACTGCTTCAGCCATGGTCCCATCCCTTTTTTGCTTTAGTTATTTTTCAGATAAGGTCTCATGTTTTTGCCGGGCCTGGTCTTAGATTGCAGTCCTCTGCCTTCCAGAGTGGAATTATAGGTGTGGACTGCCACGCTCAGCTAGTTGGTAAAGATGGATGGGTCTCACAAACTTTTTGCCAGGGCTGACTTTTGAACTGAGATCCTCCTGATCTCCACCTCCAAAGTAGATGGGATCACAGGTGTATGCCATCATGCCAAGCCTGGGTTTTTTTTTAAATTGGTATGTTTAGGAAGACTGATTATTGGGTCAAAGACTAAAACATCAATGTATTACATCTGGATAATTGTCAGACCCTGTTACTATCAAGAATAGTTCAGTATAGATAATCGATTAATTTTTATTTTATCTCTAAGAATGCCACATATATAATTCTTTGGCAAGGTACAA